GAAACCACCTGCTGTTGTGAATCGCCCTCATCGCGTCTACCATTGGCAGCGGGCCTATGCCACTGCCCAAGCCACTCCGCCATCGGGGCGGTAAGCGCAGAGCGCCTATCTTGTGACGTTACAAGATAGGCGTCTTGTCGAATGTGATCTGGAGTTTGCTTGAATGTCAGGCGGAAACACGCTGATGGATGGATGCACTTGTGATCCATTCACCTCATCCCGCCCTTTTTCAGTTGTACTATGTGACCAAGCCCGGCACTTCCCTCCCAACTGGGAGCAGAACAACAGCTGGGAACAGAGTAACAACGGCCAGCAGGGCAACAACTGGGAACAGAGCAACAACTGGCAGCAGGGCAACAACTGGCAGCAGGGCAACAACTGGCAGCAGGGCAACCACTGGCAACAGGGCAACAATTGGCAACAGGGCAGCGGCTGGGAAACCGGCCAGAACGGACAGCAGGGCAGTGGGCAGGGGGAAGGCGTAGTGGAAGAAGGGTCCGGCGGAGGTGACGGCAGCCAGCTGCCCTGCTCTGAGGCCGGGTACTTCCCCTACCCGGGGAACTGCGCCAGGTGAGAGCACGAGTGCGGCCGCCAGCGCCATCTCATGACGCCCTCTGAATCATCCTTGCACAGCAGAAACATGTAAGCTGTTATACTGGTCATGTCTGTGCCGACACCATCTTGGTGGACGTCTAGGCATGTACCTTGATTATTTGTTAGTATTTGACTTAATTGATCACGCTAAAGGATAGAACAGCAGAATTATGGCCCACATTAACACGCGCTCGGGTGGAGGTCAAATTGACTCCACTCAAAGGTTTTTTTCTGGAACGGTTTCCGAACGGGGCGGCGCGGCCACGCCCAATTTTGCATAACTGTAGACAATTGAATAGCGGATCGTCTGACATCAACAATTTACATGCACCTTGAAAAGTCGCTGACATATGGCAGGCAAAATGCAGGCCATGGTTTCAGCGAAGGCAATTTCTAGGAAATCGTTCAATCTGATCAAACAACATACTTTCTTAGGTAATACAACAATTGAATGAACAAATTTCATTGGCCTAGGGTCAGGTATGAAGGTCAGACCAAGGTCAAGACCAACCTGTTTTACCATTTTAGAGCCCGCTGTATGGGGTAGTTTCTGGCGCCCAATTAAATTTATTGATAACAAGAACCGCATTATACACCTGTGGATTTCTTACAGGTCAGAATAGGTCACTAACTTAAAATGACCCAGGTTAACATTTTGTTTTTAGAAGCATACTGCCTAGCGTAATCCTTGCCGCTTATTCAAATGCAAAACTCAAAGCAGTCCCGTATGATTTTGGTCAAAATGCCATTTGAAGTCAAACAAGGTCACTGACCTTAATGAGCACGTGACCTTTTGCTTAGAACAGTTATCTAGGTTCTAGGGACCCTTTAGAGACCAATCTGGAATTTGACCTTGTTTTACCTTATTTGATCCGAAGGTCATGACCTAGGAGCCTCAAACTTTGACCTGACTGAGTTCATGTATAGGTCAACACACCCTGTGAATTTGATGTTTCTGACTCTCTTGTTTTCTGAGATCTCAGCGGGGGGTCAGGGTGTCAAATCGACTCCCTCACCCGAGCGAAGGTTATCCAACCGGCCACCCGGGCGCGTGTTAAGTGCCCAAATTCCACTGACCACCAGCACGTAGCACATCGCCAGAGGCTGTAAGTGCATGTTAATGGTCGTCTCGCATATTTGTTTCGGTCGAAAGCCGTTCAGCAGTGCCGTTCCGCCGCCTGTCCGCCGGATGTTCCCGGCCAGCCGCATGGCACCTGACCAAGGGTGTGGCCAACGTGAGGGGTGGGGTCATGTGCCTGTTGGGCCATGTACCCACTATTTACTCACCAGGGCCATGTGCGCGGTGGGGCCATGCACCCGTTAGGACCATGTACCCGCCAGGACCACGACACCTCATCACACAGCGGCGATCCTACAGCACCCGTGCCAAGGTTGCTGCCCAGTGACTCCGCGGAAATGACCCGCACGCTGACCTGTGACCCCGCGAACATGACCCTCACGCTGACCTGTGACCCCGCGCTGCTCCGACAGGTTCTACCGCTGCGTAGACTGGATGGGTGACGGCTCCTGGTTCTCGGCGTACGAGTTCGACTGCCCGGCGGGCACTCTCTTCGATGACACATTGGACATCTGTAACCACCCCGACTGGATCGAGCCCCCACCCGACTGCCTGGGCGGAGCTGAGGGGGGCGCCGGCGGATCTGGAGGTTCCGGTGGATCGGGCGGTTCTGGTGGATCGAGTGGCTCAAGTGGATCAGGTGGATCTGGTGGGTCTGGTGGCTCTACCGGATCCGCTGGATCAGGTGGTTCAGGTGGATCCGGTGGATCAAGTGGATCAGGCGGCTCCGGCGGCTCTGGCGGATCAGGTGGATCTTGGGGTTCCGGTGGATCTGGTGGATCAAGTGGCTCAAGTGGATCAGGTGGATCTAGTGGATCGGGTGGCTCTGCCGGATCTGGTGGTTCAGGTGGTTCAGGTGGATCCGGTGGATCCGGTGGATCAAGTGGATCAGGCGGCTCCAGTGGCTCTGGCGGATCAGGCGGATCTTGGGGTTCCGGTGGATCTGGTGGATCAAGTGGCTCCGGTGGATCAGGCGGATCAAGCGGGTCAGGTGGATCCGGTGGATCAGGTGGATTAGGCGGATCAAGTGGATCAGGCGGTTCTGGTGGTTCTGGTGGTTCCGCTGGATCAAATGGATCAGGTGGTGCTGGTGGATCGGGTGGATCAAGTGGAGCAGGTGGTTCCAGTGGATCTAGCGGCTCCGGCGGATCTGGTAGCTCTGGTGGATCGAGTGAATCAGGTGGTGCTGGTGGATCGAGCGAATCTGGTGGTTCTAGCGAATCTGGTGGCTCCGGCGAATCTGGTGGCTCTGGGGGATCAAATGGATCAGGTGGTATTAGCGGATCGGGTGGATCAAATGAATCTGGTGGCTCCAGCGCATCAGGTGGCTCTTGGGAATCAGGTGTATCGGGAGGATCAAGTGGATCTGGTGGTTCCAGTGGTTCAAGTGGGACTGAAGGATCAAGCGTTGGTGGCTCGAGTGGGTCGGGAGGTACTGGTGGGTCACAAGGATCCGGTGGATCTGGTTCGGAAGGGGGCTCTGGTGGATCAGGAAGCTCTGGTTCTGAGGGTGCATCTGGTGGATCAGGGGGAAGCGGCGCTGAGGGGGGAGCTGGTTCTGGAGGAGGATCTGAAGGATCTGGAGGCTCCGGCTCAGAAGGAGGATCTTGGGGATCAGGTGGAGCGGGAGGTTCTGGGTCCCAGGGAGGTTCTAGTTCTCAGGGAGGCTCGGGTTCTGAGGGCGGGTCCAGTTCTGAGGGAGGATCTGGGGGATCAGGGGGCTCTGGCTCTGAAGGAGGATCCGGGGGCACTGGTGGGTCAGGGGGCTCTGGTGGATTAGGAGGCTCTGGCGGATCAGGAAACATAGATTCTATGGGGGGATCTGGTGGGTCAGAGGGCTCCGGCTCTGAAGGAGGATCCGGTGGGTCAGGAAGCTCTGGTTCCCAGGGAGGTGCTGGTGGATCAGGAGGATCAGGCTCTGAGGGAGGATCTGGCGGATCAGGAAGTTCTGGATCCCAGGAAGGATCTGGTGGTTCATGGGGCTCTGGCGGATCAGGAGGTTCTAATGGGTCGGGAGGATCTGGCGGGACAGGAGGCTCTGGAGGATCATGGGGCTCTGGTGGATCAGGAGGCTCTAGCGGATCATGGGGCTCCGGTGGATCAGGAGGATCTAGTGGGTCGGGAGGCTCTGGCGGATCATGGGGCTCTGGTGGATCGGGAGGCTCTGGCGGGTCGGAAGTCTCTGGAGGGTCAGGAAGCTCTGGCGGATCATGGGGCTCTAGTGGATCAGGAGGCTCTGGAGGATCAGAAGGTTCTGGAGAATCAGGAGGCTCTGGAGGATCAGGAGGCTCTGGAGGATCAGGAGGCTCCGGTGGATCAGGAGGCTCTAGTGGGTCAGGAGGCTCTGGCGGATCATGGGGCTCTGGTGGATCAGGGGGATCTGAAGGATCAGGAGGTTCTGGCGGATCATGGGGCTCTGGTGGATCAGAAGGCTCTAGTGGATCGGGAGGCTCTGGCGGGTCAGGAGGCTCGGGAGGATCATGGGGCTCTGGTGGATCAGGAGGCTCTAGTGGATCGGGAGGCTCCAGCGGGTCAGGAGGCTCTGGCGGATCATGGGGCTCTGGTGGATCAGGAGGCTCTGGTGGATCAGCAGGCTCTGGAGGATCAGGAGGTTCTGGCGGATCATGGGGCTCTGGTGGATCAGGAGGTTCTAGTGGGTCGGGAGGCTCCGGCGGGTCAGGAGGCTCTGGCGGATCATGGGGCTCTGGTGGATCAGGAGGCTCTGGAGGATCGGGAGGCTCTTCGTCTTCACACACTGAGTTTGGTCTGATATGCGGGCGAGAAGGCTATCTACGGCACCCCATTTTCTGCAACCAATTCTACCAGTGCGTGTGGAACGGCAAGTTCTGGACGTTCCTCGTGGCCTCCTGCGCGCCAGGCTTTGTCTACAGCGAGCAGCTGCAGCTGTGCCAGCCGAGAGGTGAGCCGAACAAACTATCCGCTATATACAATATCTTTATGGGTGTATGATCGGTATATGATCAGGGCCACTGGAATGATCAGACTTCAAGTTAAGGGATTGTTATTGCTCTGCGGAACCTAGGCTGTTTTCGAGCGATTCTCACAGAAAAGTGAAGTTGTAAGGCATGTGGCCTCATCCCTCCACGTTGTTCCGCGTTTAAAGCATCGTTGGTGTGCAAACTACTAACACGGCTTTTGATAAGTGTTCTCGATTGTTACCGTATTCCCGTAAGCTGTCCTTCATTTTTTTACCGCCACAGGGGCAGTGAGTCGGATTTGCCCTGGCCCGAATGCCGCTCGCCTTCTGCCATCCCTTACCTGTGCATCGATCTCACCAACAGGCGACGGCGAAGCGTGCAGAGACGGCGCGGCCCTGGGAACGCCGCTGGTGCCATCTATCGGCGACGGCAGCGGGCTGCCATCTGGGATGACGGTTGAGAGCGATGACACAGAAGTAATCAGCGGCTCCGGTGACCAAGTGGTAGGTGATGGTACCCATACCCTGCTCCCTGACGTCCACATCCGGTTATGGACAGACGTTGGACTGCTATTTCTCCAAAGGCAAAGAGGCTGCCAACATCTGACACGGATATTGACATCGCTTATCAACATCACCAAGCCTGGGGCGAAATGCGAAAATGTGACGATGTGGCACAAATTCGTGACAAGACTCGGCGAAAATCGGCCAGATGCTGCACTGATACTAGGCTAGCCTCTCCTCTCATTTCGTTTTTGCTTTCGTACCTTTAAAACACAGTGGGTGCGCGATGCGCTTCCGTACCGTGGGTTTTCTTTACCCGTTTCCATCGGCACGAATGCCTTAACACATTTCGGGGTGCCTTAGATACATACAAGGTATTTGACTCAGTAAATGTAGAAATAGCTATGCAAAATCCATCATGAAAATTACAGTGATTAAGAGAGGCATCAAAATGGGCACCTCTTCTTTACACAATACAGTTTCCGTTGCACGGCTGGCGGCACATTGCCAGCCAATGTACCTAGAGGTCGCGAATTAAGCCAAGAAATCGAATGTTGCGACAATGTGGAGTGAATTCGCTACCCGACTTAGCTCAGCTGGCGCATTTACGATATCCAGCAAGTAGTGATTCAGGTGCCGCTATATCCATTCGATTTGTGTGTGTGTGTGTACACACAGCATACCTAAAGTCCGGTCTCGCCTAGCTTGGCAGGCATCGTCCGGCCTCGTGTAGACACGGTATACCTAAAGTCCGGTCCCGCCTAGTTCAGTAGGCACTGTCCGGCCTCGTGTACACACGGTATACGTAAAGTCCGGTCTCGCCTGGTTCAGTAGACACTGTCCGGTCTCGTGTACATACGGCATACCTAAAGGCCGGTCTTGCCTGGTTCAGTAGGCACTGTCCGGCCTCGTGTACAACGGCATACCTAACGTCCGGTCTCGCCTGACTTGGTGGGCATTCTTACATCGCATGGTGGAATGAGGCTCCCCTACCATCTCTATATCAATTGCATGAGTTTCCCCACCACGACTCCTACGTAATTGCCCATAAACTTAAATAACGACGCAAACTAGGCCTAATCAGATCCGTCAGCTGGGTGCGGGACGTAACACATCACCGCGCGCCGCACGTGGGATTTTCTCAAGCGCGTCTGAAATAGCACCCGTGCTTCCGTGCCTTTCAACACTCATTTGGCTGCTGCACGGCTGTGCAGCTCGCGTGGGCGGTGTTCGCCGCTTCAAATGACCGGCTTCGACGCATTTTTCCCAGGTAACGGTGGGCGAGCAGTTCCAGTGCCAAGCTCCCGGATTCTACGAGTTCGAGGCCGACTGCATCCACTTCTACCGCTGCGTCTTCCTCGACTCCGGCGAACTGACCAGTGAGTGCGGCGGACAAGCGAGGGGGGGGGCGGGCAGGAAGGGGGGGGGGGGGGGTGCGGAGCGGGTGCGTGCCGTACATTGGCCTGGTGCACAGGTCGGCGCAGTTAGCACCCGTGCGCAGAAGCAGCCGGTGTAAACCGGCGCGGCAGGTAAGAGGAAGTGGCGATAAGCACATGAACATCGTCCCGATACCTATTACAATAATGCCTATCACCAACTGCCAGGGCCATTTCGAGACGGGACGCTTCTATAAGGCACCATGTGGGATATGACATGGCAGTGGCGTCGGAGGGACTCCCAGAACCAACGGGTTCAGAGCCAACCGGCCTGACCACCATACCACCGCCGCCCGCACAGGCCGGGATGCGTCGTTACGTACGTTGTTTCGACACCAAAGCGCTTGCACGCGTTAACCAAAACGCGTCCGCTTCATTATCACAAGAGCCGGGTCTAACACACCTGTCCTGACGCGTCCCTTGTATCCCTGGCGGTCATCGGACCTCAACGTACCCCCGCTGTGTTGGGGCGCAGCCCATGACAGCGAATAAAGTTCAACTGAGCCGTCAGCGATGTAACCCCAGCACGGTTATCACTCTATAGGCCTTATGTAGCAGTAGTAACGTGCAGACCCCATCCCGCGTCCCACTTCGCCAGCCGATTGTTACAAGCTCTGTTAACTTCTGTTTTTGTACACCGCGCCGCTGTTTGTGCTTTTAACTCCACGCCCCTAAATGACCCCACTTCTGCAGCGTTGCTTTATCACTGATAACCATTAAGCCGAGATGCGTTACGCGTAAGCACGTTTGCTCGGCCGATAACCGTCCAAGCCTGACTAGTACCTCGTCACGCAGCGCTGCTGATAACCTCCCACACCTGACTAGTACCTCGTTCCACAGCGCTGCTGTACCGCTGATAACCGTCCACACCTGACCAGTACCTCGTCACGCAGCGCTGCTGATAACCGCCCACACCTGACCAGTACCTCGTCACGCAGCGCTGCTGTAACGCTGATAACCGTCCACACCTGACCAGTACCTCGTCACGCAGCGCTGCTGATAACCGCCCACACCTGACCAGTACCTCGTCACGCAGCGCTGCTGTACCGCTGATAACCGTCCACACCTGACCAGTGCCTCGTTACGCAGCGCTGCTGACAACCGCCCACTCCTGACCGGTACCTCGTTCCACAGCGCTGCTGTACCGCTGCCCGGAGCGCTACGTGTACAGTCCGGAGCGCGAGCGGTGCGCGCCGGCCGCGCAGGCTCAGTCCTGCGCCAAGGACGCCACGACGCTGCTCAGTCTGCGCGCGCCGCCCAGCCCCGAGGACGTGCGCGTCCTCTCGGAGGACGACCTGGACTGGTTCTTCGCCCAGGGGGAGAAGCAGGTGTACAGGTTCAGGCCGGGCGTGGCTGCCGGCAGGCCACACCTCCGCGCCACCGGCGGATACCGGGAGATGAACGGGTACCGCCGGGCGCGTGGCCTGTTCTAGAGCCGGCTTCCGACTGGCGGCGCTAGTGCTGCCATCTCTGGGCCGCCTCGGCGAACAGCTGAGACCGGCCTGGTTGACAGCACCGGACGACCCATACGCGGTCGTGTTATTTGTTAGCGCGGCGCCGACGAGCGCGAGGGCATTGTCTGCCCCGCGGGGCCACAAACGTTAGGGCATAGTGGTCGAGGCATTCGACTTTCTTATCAATGTACCCAGACTGGTGCCAACTGTTTTAGTGTATGTGCGTGTGCGCGCGTGTCCCCGACTTGGCCACGCCCTGGCCATCGCCATGTTCTTTATGGGCTGTTGCTCACGCAACAGCAGCCAATCAACATCGCTCCAGGGTGCCGCGGTGCGCACAGGCTACACGCGAGCGATCAACGCCCCACTGGAAGACCCCGTTCGGAAAGGCAACACGCACAAGGGCGTTGGCCGTACCGGTGCGTGTAACGCTACCCCCTGGCTTACTAGCGGTGTGAGCGACGCGTGCGCACCGAGCGGACTGGAGAACGCCCGGTGATTTGTTGAATCCGAGGCGCCTTTGCACGTGACCTTCCACGCTCGCGGCCAACGATTCTGTGATAGATCGTAGCATTGCTCGTGTACCGCCGGTTTTTAAATAGCTTCACCATTACGACGTGATGCACTGCATGGGAAAGTTGTCAATAGCAGCCAACGGACAAATAAAGTTATCACGCGGACCTGACGGGTCTATCCATGTACCAACGCGAACAGCGTGCCTCAACCTCGACTGTCCTGACTGGTGAAAATGTGGCTGCATTCACACCGCGCCACTTCTCCGTCCCCATACGCGTTCAAGATAAGCCAGCTCTGCATCGCTAAATCTCTCACGTATCCCGCAAAAGTACCTTTCGGTGCTTACGCTCCCATCATACTTCGTAACTACCAGAAGTTAAGAAAAAACCATGGTCATAAAACGTAATATCACAATAATATTTAGCACCACGGATGCAGCAGTCGCCGCAATTCAAACAACAACACTCGGCCAGCGATTTTGCACGGGACCTTTACGTCGAGACCAGGAGCGGAGCACCCCATCCCTTCCGCTGGAAAACAGACCCGTCCACGCTGGTGCTGACGAACCATCAGCGGCTCAGGTGGCAGAGATGGGCGAGCACCAGGGCGGGACTGCCGCGGGGGCGCCGCGGGCGGCCCGCACCGGACGCCACACAGACCAGCCCGCCGCGGAGACCGGCGCGGACCGCCGGCCGCCACAGACCAGACCACCCAGAGCCGGCGGACCACGCCACGGCCCGCCGCCGGGGCGTGGGGCATCACGGCGGACCACACACGGACCACCACGCACGGCACACGGCGGCAAACCCCACACGGACGCCGCGACAGGGACCTGACCTCGGGGCGAACGCAGGGCCGACGCGCGCTCGCGTCGATTTGGCGACGCGACGCTGCCCCCGGCGCCACAGACGGGCGGAGAGACGCGGCGGTGGCCGGCGGCAGCTCGCACAGACGCGGGCACGAAGCGGAGCAGCGCAGACCGAGACGGGACGGGACGGGACGGACGGACAGATGGACGGCCGCCGGCGCCGCTACGTGACGCAGAACCTCCAGTTGGCCTGGTACAGGTCACTCCGTATGCGGTCAGCGTCCAGCTCCCTGCGGCACGAGCGCGCCGCCTTTGTGACGGCTGCCGGGCTGTTTATCAGCAGGCGAAGCCACCGTCACCACCGTCGGAACACCATGGCGCAGGCCGGCTTCGGTCAGCGAGGTCTCGTGAGGCGAGAACTGAACTCAGCCCTCCCAAGCATCCGCCCCACGCCTCGAACACCCGACGGCTTACGGTCCCGACCACGTGATCAGGCGTACAGCGGGCACAGTGAACACGGCTCCCGGATCGACAGACAGGATACACTGTGATAGCCCGTTCGTCACAGCACATCGTCACAGGATATACTGTGACGGGCTCGCCCGGGCTGTCCAGCAGTGTGGCCACTCACACAGACTGTCCATGGCCCAGCAGTCCACAGGGGCAGGGCGCACGGTGCCGACTATTGACGCGCTCAGCTGACGCACACGGTCACGTCAACAACCCTCCACGCAGCGACGACAGCGCCGGCAGAAGCCAGTAGCCCCCAGCGATCCCCCCCCCCCCCTGGGATGGAAAAAGCAGTCAAGAAACAGACGGGACCAGCGACGACGTCACTGCAGCATCGGAGCAAACCGAGCCAGTTCACCCCCACCAGCCGCTGACCGACCTGTACTGCGGCTGCCAACTGTTGACGATCTTGTCGTTGAGGCTGCGCACGTCCGACTCCATGTAGTCGCGGAACTCGCGGCGGATCCTGTCCGCCAGCTTGGTCTGCTCCTTCTCCGAGATCTGCAGTTCGGTCTTCTCGCGCGCCAGCAGCTGCGACAGGTCCCGGAAGTTGGCCTCGTAGAACTGGTGCACGCGGTTCAGCTGGCTCGTGTAGCCGTCCTCGCCGTAGAACTCCTTGATGGCGCGCTTTTCGAGGCTGCGGACCGTGCGCAGCCGGCGCCGCTGGATCTCCAGCATCTCCTCGAACACGGCCTTCAGCAGCTGGCGACGGACGATCGGAGTCAGTCTTGGGGGCGCTGCTATGCATCACAATAGAGCAATACAGTACATTGTAATCTCGAACAAATGCATACAAATGCATATATATATATATATATATATATATATATATATATATATATATATATATATATATATACGGGCCCGTTAGACCAGTTTCTTTCTTAGTTGTACACAAATTGGCTGCATAATTGTCACCAGCGGACACGACTTCAACCTACACAATCTTCAACAGCAATACTCATAAACAGAGGCGGTAATTTAAATCCCGACAATGATCTGTGACTGCAAAATACGAACGTAACGGAACTGAATAAACGAACCAATGTGAATCACCATACCAGGGTGAAACCCATCGCATTAGCTGGAGAACACGGGAGAAGACCGAAACCCCAATAGTCGTAATGGTCTGGGGACGACGATGACGATGTGGGGTTTTCAGACCCATCGACGGCGAAACGTCACGCGGCGCCTCATCTGGGGGTGGGGCGAAACGGACCCCAGAAGCAGCCGCGGGCAGCCGGGATAAAAAAAAAGAACCGGCGACTGCCGAGTAAGTGCAGACCACTCAGAATAGCACATCACCAGCAAAAATGTTATCTTAAGGCGCGCTCAATTCGGTCCGCCATTTGCCGCCAAGTGTGCCGACGAACGCACTAGCGGACCGGGCCCTCACCAGCTCCTCCCTGCTCTTGTTGAGCGCCATCCGAGACTGGAACTGCTGCTTGAACGAGTCGACGTACTTCTGGGCGCGCAGGCACGAGATCTTATCGTCACGCGGTTTATTCCTGTCGGTCAGGACGACAGTCATACGGCGGCAGCGGGCGGCGGCCGGCCGGCCACGGCAGCACGGACGGGCGGCGGCGCCGGTCACAGCAGGCCCCGCCAGCTGGCGTGAGCGGTACAGCCTGCCGCGCGGGGCCGTACGAGCCTGTGCTGGGCGCACCGTCGGTCTCTCTCCCTCCCCCCGCCCTCCCCCTCCATCTCGTCTGGCGCCCGGCCTCACCACCGGCCGCGCAGTCGACCCTGCACCGGAGCAGCGCGCCGCGCCGGGTCCGGCGCCGCCCCCGCTGCTCACCGCTCGCGGATCTCGCGCCGCCTCTCGTCGCAGATCTTCCGGAAGCGCCTCTCGTGCGTCTTATGCTGGTGCATGATGTCAGTCAGCAGCGCCTGCCGCCGCAGCACGTCCTGCCGCTGCAGCCGGTAACAGGACAGGACAGGTCAAGCCAGGTCAGGTCAGGTCAGGTTAGGTTAGGTTAGGTTAGGTTAGGTTAGGTTAGGTTAGGTTAGGTTGGGTTAGGTTAGGTTAGATTAGGTTAGGTTAGGTTAGGTTGGGTCAGGTCAGGACAGGGCAGGACAGGACAGGACAGGACAGGTCAAACCAGGTCCGGTCCGGTCCGGTCAGGTCAGGTCAGGTCAGGTCAGGTCAGGTCAGGTCAGGTCAGGACAGGACAGGACAGGACAGGACGGGACAGGACAGGACAGGACAGGACAGGACAGGACAGGACAGGACAGGACAGGACAGGACAGGACAGGGCAGACAGGACAGGACAGGACAGGACAGGACAGGACAGGACAGGACAGGACAGGACAGGACAGGACAGGACAGGACAGGACAGGACAAAACAGGTCAGGACAGGACCGGGCCAGGGCGAGACGGGGAAAGACGAGCGGAACAGGACGGGATACACGATCAGGATATGGCGGTCCACGACACCAAACGAAAATAAAGTCTCCAGCGTTAAAAATTAAAAGCGATGGTAAAACGGTCGCAATGTTCATGCACATCAGAGGCAAAATATCAATGATGCCCATCCACACGGAACATACGGGAAGGGAACATACGGGAACATACGGAACATACTAGCCCAGCCCAGGCCAGGTCAAACTCGCCTGACACAGGTCCGGCGAGGGCACTAAAGGTCAGGGGTATACCAGCACACGTCAGACAGACACACCGCAAGACGGGTCAGCTTTGGCGACATCTCACGATGTAAGACCTCCGGTCGGCCAGGACCGGCCGGGCCAAGTCAGGTCAGGTCAGGTCAGGGTACGGCCGAATCGCTTAGGAATTGTTCTGCAGGGTGCCAGATGCTTCCAATGCCGTTATTGACGGCTGATCGCATGAGAGGTGAATGCTCGGCCCCCATTCGGCCCAGCTGGCCCGCACCCCTGGCGGCAGGACAGACGGGGCGCAGTCCGATGCTCGTCTCGATGTCTGGCACAGACAGGGCAGACGCCGGCGGTCGACAGCTTGAGCCGGTGCCGCGTTGCCGGAGGTAATTACACGTCTGGAAACCCTGAACTGCCACAGATAACGCGGACAAATGAGACTGGATGTTGTTGAGCTTTATGGTTCAAGTTCCGGCCAGCACCGACCGGAAACCGGACTTCTTCACCGTGCTTCCGCGAGCCCCACTCTGTTCCCACCATCCCAAGGCCTACTAGATCGCCCCACTGAGCCGACAGGTTCCCAGGACAGGATAGAGCAGTTGGCGAGCTCACCCGGATCTTGTACTTCCTCGTCTCCATGGGCTCCACCATGCTCATGATGTACTTCATCTGGCGGCGGTACTCCGTCAGCAGCTTCCGCTTGGTCTCCTCCGAAACGTGCACGTACGGGAACTCGCGGCGCAGAAACTCGAACACGTCCGCCTCTGCCAGCAGGGTGGGTACGGCTCGTATCAGCTGACAGTGTCAGTCTGTCAGCAGGGCTGACAAAGAACCGCATGTTAGCAGCACGCCGCCTCTGACAGCACCTTAGAATAAATATACTTTCAGTGACGTTTCCATGATGAACATTGGGAACACATCAACACCAAGCGTCACCCTTCAGCATATGAGACACAACATCCGACCTATTTCGCCGCCAGGCGGCGCCAGCAGGCGGGCCGGCCGGCAGGCGAGGGCGGCTGCAGCCTCTCACCTTGCCCCTGCACCTGGACTTGGGAGTCGTCTGCCTGGGACTCGAGCCACTGCAGCACGCCGTCACTGCACACCGAGCGGCGAGACGAAGCCTTGCTGTATGACACTGAAACAGGGGAACGGGCGTGGCTGCTGGACCAGGACACGCGCCCGGACACACCAACGGACATGGCTGCTGAACCAGGACACGCGCCCGGACACATCGACGGTCATGGCTGCTGAACCAGGACACGTGTCCGGACACACCAACGGACATGGCTGCTGAACACACGTCCGGGCACATCGGCAGACAAGGCTGTTGAACCGGGACACACGCCCGGATACCGACAGAGAACACACAGCCAGCCACTGAAACGCGCCAGTCACTGAAACAGAGCACACATTCAGCCCCTGAAGCGTCCAGCCTCCGCTGCACGACACTGAAACAGCGCAAGCAATAACAAAACAGTCAGCAGTAATACGGCCTGCGTTCGTTTCATCGACATAGTCGCCCTGCACAACACTTCTCTACAACCACCTATGTCCCCACGCTTACCCATCACATGCGCGATCCCATCCAAGGCCACTATCACCATCTCTATAACGACACACCATGGCACATCTACGCAGGCACCACGCGCCTCGACCGCGCCCGGCGGCGGCGACGACGGCGGCAGAGGCCGGCCCACCACACCCCACACTCACTGCGGCGGCTGGGCTGGGGCGCGCTGCGCACCTTCCTGCGCACCTCGCGCTGCACCGTCTCCTTGCAGAGCTCCTCCCCGGCCTGCTCCCGGGTGGTGCGCGTCACCGCCCGCTCGCCGCCAGACTCGTGTATCTGCCGGCACGCAGCCGACGTCACACGGGCAGACAGGAGTAACTCGCACATCTGCCGAGACGGCGGCGGCGAGACGAGCACTCGCGGATAGCGGAGAGCTGGAACCGACGCTCACGGACCTCAGGGCACGAGGCGAACGTCATGTGGGGGACGGGCGCGACGCGACAGATCCCGGACCTCGGCTCGCGGGGCCTGACCCCGCTTTGAGCGACACCAGTGATTCGTGTGTGCCGCCGCCCTGCAGCAGCCACTTGTATCTACTCCACTGTCCGTTTACACCAGCCGCCAACGCTCGGCTCCAAGTCCATCCCCGTGCAGCCATCTCTCTACTCCCAGGTCATCCACGCAGCCTGTTCCGTCCCCCCCCCCCCTTCTCCACGATGGCTCTGACCTCTGACCTCTGACCTCGAACTCTGGCCACTGACCTCGGCGATGGTCTCGATGTTCCTGGTCAGCAGGCGGCGGCAGAGCGGGCGCCGGTTGACGCCCGGGTCGCTGGCCGAGCTGCGGTCGCTGGAGCGGCGCCGGCGGTCGCGCGCCTCGGCCGCCGCCTGGCAGGGCGCGCTGCGGCGCGGCCGCGAGTCGGCCCACAGCCGGGCGCAGGGGCCCCGCCGCCGCCGCCGGCCCGTCGTGTCTGTGGTGGTGGTCGGCTCCGGCGCGGAGCTGGTCGGCTCCGACGGCTGTCGGACGCGCCGAGCCGTGATGGCGGACGGAGTGGTGACCGGGACACGTGACCGTGGCACGTGGCGGTGACCATGACACGTGGGTCAGTGACTGTGGCACATGGTAGATGACCAGGGCACGTAATCGGTGACCGGGACATGTGGTCGGTGACAGGGGCACGGGGTCGGTGACAGGGGCACGGGGTCGGTGACAGGGCATGTGGCCGGTGACGGGGGCGTGGTCATTGACCGGGACACGTGGTCGGTGACCAGGGCACGTGGGTCGGTGACCAGGGCACGTGGGTCGATGACCAAGGCATGTGGTCGGTGACCGGGGCATGTGGCCGGTGACCGGGGCACGTGGTCAGTGACCAGGGCACGCGGGTCCGCGACCAAGGCACGTGGATCGGTACCCGGTCGCACCAGCCGGTGCCAACACCACCGGGGGACCGCGCCACACAGACAGACCGGCACAGCCGGCAAATGGCGGCCGTGGGGCACGGGGAGGTGGAGCGGCCGGGCAGTATGAACCGGGCAGCCGGGGAGCCGGCAAGGAGGACCACGGAGGCGCGGGCCTAAACACGGGGCAGTGATGCGACCGATGATGGAATCGCCTCCCCTTCTGCTTTCTCTCCCACATGGTGGGCACACAGCTAGGCGAGGGAACGGACGAGCAGATACGCTGCGGGCTGAGGCGGTACAAGCAACATGACGAGGCGAGGGGCTGTAAAAAAAACTTAAGCTAGTGAAGAGAAGATTGTATCGAGAGAACAGAGACAAAGTGATAATAAAAGACAAACTTGACGTGATCAGGATATATACGTATGAGACGAAGAATCTATCTGCTAAACATCCACTGATATGGACCAAAATAAGTTGTCTGTTAAGTCTAGAATGGGTCGCTGGTCCCAGTAACTTGTCTACGGATCGCCAGAGCATCGCCACCGGCGGCGATCGCGCCGACACTAACAGCTAACTAACAGTGCTGAGAGATCTTACCGCGGCTGGCGGTGGTGGCTTGGGCTTCTCGACAGGCTTGCTCGCCTGAAAAACATAGTTCGTCACGGACCATGCTCTCTAACAACTGAAGCGGATATACCTCACACACCGGAGCACCAGCGGCGTACAATACAATTAACGTCGTCGGCGAAATGAAAGCTATGCTTTATGCTAGTACTCGACTTTCCTAAGACAACCATACTTGCTTCGACGATACTTTAAGCCCACCACCGACACACTAAATCTGGCGACGAGTTATCTACACACGCATGCGACTGTAAAATCACTAGCGACCTCAGATACCAGCCGGACGGCAGCGGCGGCGGTCGGTCGGGCCACCCGACGGCCGGGGGAGGGGCGGGGTGGGGCGGCTGCCGACACCAGGCCGGGTGGCGGGCCTACCTCCTCGGGTTCGGGCTTGGTCTCGCGCATCTGCTGCATCTCCTGGCTGAGCTTGCGGCTGATGTCGCCGGCGGGCGGCGCCGGCTCCTCGGCCTCGGTGGCCTCCACGCTGCTGGTGCCCTCGTCCGCCGACGTCTGGCGGGCCGGCCGGCACACGCGTCATCGGACGCCGGCACGCCACGGCACCGCCAGTCTCACGCTCACACGCCACGGCGCCGCCAGTCTCACGCTCACACGCCACGGCGCCGCCAGTCTCACGCTCATACGCTACGCCATTCACCCCTCACACGTCCCAGACGCGGCAGACCGATTGCCGCGCTACACAATTCGACGGCGGCCACCTGAATCACCCTAGCAAAGTAAACCGGCCGCGCTGTTTGGCTGATTCGTCGCTGGCCCCCGGACCGACCCACCTCCCAAACAGCCCGTGCGGCGGGCGCGGGGGCGGACGACAAAGGGGTTATGAGTGATGGCGATAACCGAGAGTGCTGCTGCGCTGCGAGGACGGCAGAGGGACCCACCTCACAGCGAGTCATCGTCGGCGTCAAAGGCCACGTTTTGGTACTCGTCACCGCCCGCCCGATCGTCCGCCGCCGGCCGCGCCTGACGTCACAATGACGTCACCATTACGTCAGAGCCATCGACCCCGAGAGCCCGGTACGACATAAGCGGATTTTACAAGGAGAAAGATCCACAGGTGTGGTTGGCGACACATCGGTGCTTCAAAAGCGGTGTCCGTGCTTGGTGCTACTTGTCCAATAACAAGGAGTGAAAACGAACGATGTGACCACGCAAGCTGCGACACGAAGATTTCTTGTAACCAATCTTGATAGTCATCGACGCTTATTCGACCTTCAAATATCAAATATATGAGACTGCACAGACACTCCAGTTCGCCTGTACACAAAAGCCCAAAAGCATACAGAACGCAGGGCGTCGCGGCCTTCCGCGCCACCGATCCTAACTCGGACGCAATTCCCAGGACACTGTTTGTTTTCCGCACACAACTAAAACAGCATCCACGTCGCACAGCGACCCCAACAAAAACCAATACGTAGGGCTTGAAACCCATGAACCCTGGGCGGGTCTGTAGCCACAAAGTGTCGGGAAGCTGCATTTCTCGCAACTCCCGGTCTCGGTCTGAGTCGGCCCCGCCTCCCCGCGCGTACCGCCGCCGCCCGCGGCATCTCACCTCCGTGTCCTCGACGAAATCGAAGTGTCGCGGCACGAACGAGCCGCGAGGCATCCTCGGCTCGTCGTCCTCGACGGCCGGTGACTCCTGGCTGGTCGACCCCGAGGACGGGCCGCCCTCCGTCGTCTCGTCGTCAGCGGCGCCGGACTCCTGCTCCCCCGACTCTTGGTCTCCTGACTCCTGCTCTCCTGAAGCCTGCTCTGCCGACTCCTGCTCTCCCGAGACCTGCTCTCCTGACTCCTGCTCCGCCTCCTCCTGCTCCGTCTCCTCCTGCTCCGTCTCCCCCCGCTCCGTCTCTTCCTGCTCCGTCTCCTCCTGTCCCTCCACCTCCGTCAGTGAGCTCTCCTGGTCTTCTGGAGACATTCCCGGGTCCACCAGGGCAGACTCCTGATCCACCGGGTCCGGCTCCTCCTTGACCGGCGCCGCCGCGGCCGTCTTGCTGGCCGGGGCCGCCTTCTCGCCCCAGGCGGTACCGGCGGCGGCCACCACGCCGGAGCGGGGCGGCGACAGCGGCAGCTCCTGCTCCAGCGAGAAGTCGGACTCCGGGACTGCGGTGGGACAGCCGATGGCACGGTGTCAGCCGACCAGCGGAGACACGGCACGGCACGGCACGGTATGGCATAGAGCGCTAGTGGACGGCACAGGTGAGCCACGGTGTAGGGACAGATGGTGTAGGGGCGCATGTTCAGACGGTGTAGGGGGCGCATGGCGGCACGCGGGGGACGCACGGTGCCGAAGCGCAGGGTGTTGGATGGCGGTGATGCGGGCACGCAGTGGTGAGGTCTAATGTGAGTACGGTGTAGTGTGGGGTGGTGAGCGTTTCCCCAGCAGCCGTGCTGAACGTTGGTCGTATCATTGTGAGCGCCGTCGCCCAATCGACAGCCACTAACCTTACCGGACCGCAACCGACGCACACAACCCTCTTCTACCCCCACCCCTCCCCCTCCGCCGCCGCCGCACACCGCACACCGCGCGAAGCCGGCACCTGGGACCCACAGCAGGCAGTATCAGTCGACACTCACAGCTGACCCCGGCACTGCCGCTGGTGGTGGCGCTGGCGCTGGTGGTGGCGCTGGCGCTGGCCAGGCTCGCCGTGCACGTGCCGGGCATGCCGCCCGAGCCGGACGCCGACGAGGCGGCCGCCACGGAGGCGGACGAGGTCGGCGCCAGCTCGCCCGAGCGGCCGCGCGTCGGGCTGCCCGTCGCCGAGCCGCGGGAGCCCGTGGCCGGGCCGGCCACCGAGCCGCGGGAGCCGCGGGAGCTGGGGGAGCCAGACGGCGGCAGCGCGCCCGACCCGGACCGACTGGCCGAGCGCGGCGGCGTGCCGGCCGCGCTCGAGACCGACCGGCGAGCCGACGAGCCGCTGCCGGTGGGACGAGCCCCGCCAGTGGACGAGCCGCTGCCGGTGGGACGAGCTCCACCGGCGGACGAGCCACTGCCGGTGGGACGAGCCCCGCTGGTGGACGAGGCGCTGCCGCTGGGACGAGCCCCGCCAGTGGACGAGGCGCTGCCGGTGGGACGAGCCCCACCAGTGGACGAGCCGCTGCCGGTGGGACGTGCCCCGCCAGTGGACGAGCCGCTGCCGGTGGGACGAGCCCCGCCGGTGGACGAGCCGCTGCCGGTGGCACGAGCCCCGCTAGTGGACGAGCCGCTGCCAGTGGCACGAGCCCCGCCAGCGGACGAGCTGCTACCGGTGGCACGAGCCCCGACGGTGGACGAGGAGCGCACCGAAACGGATGCTTTGCTCGACCTATGGAAGGGATGTGGGACGTAATGGCACCTGCAGAAGACCTACAGACCAGATGGGAGGTCTGATGGGACGTGCGTTGACGCCTGCAGGCGTAAGATCCAATGGCACCTCCGGAAAATGCGTAAGACCCCGTGGGATATGAGAAGGGAACGAGGGGACGCGTAGTCCGATGAAATCTGGTGCCACAACGATAAACACCACCAGTCACAGGACACAGTCAAGGCACGAGCACCGCTGTGGAACGACTCCGAACACCCCCGGGAAATCACGTCGGTCAGATCACGAACCGACCCACGACCCCTCGGGAAATCGCGCCTCCCCGACGCGCCCGAGTCCCGAGAGCCCACCGCGAGACGGTCGCCACTCAGTGGCGGCCGCCGCCGACCCGCCCGGCCGGCGCGGGCTGTGGACATCGCGTTACTCACGGCGTTTTGGCCGGCTGGTCGGCCTCGGGCGTGGACGGAGCGGCCTCGGCGGCGGCGGCGGCGGCGTCGCCCTCTGCGGCCGCTGGCGCCGCGTCGGCGCCGGCCTCCTGCGGCGACACGGCCGGCCGTCCCGTACATAGACAGCAGGGTGTGGGCACCCGACAGCGCACAGGACATCCGCTGCCAGTCGTGGCAAACATGCTACCAGGCGTTGATTCACACGGAAGGCTTTAAAGTGAGGGCTCAAATCCACTAGGTCGTCCGTACAAAGAGCAAAAAACACACCTTGCCTCCATTCACCCCTCCCCAAAACGGGAACACCACCCCGTCCCACTCTAGGTTCCCGTCGCTGGGCCCCTCATCGCCCAGCTCCCGGCGGCGGGCGGGCTCACCGGGGCGGCGTCGTCGGCTGGCACCGCGTCCTGCCCGTCCGGGGGCGGCTCCTCCGAGGAGGAGCCCGCGCTGCTCAGCTCCTCCTCCGTTTCCGTCAGACTCTCCTCCAGGTTCCACTTGTCTGCCGGACGGCAGACGCCAGCCGACCCCCAGTGCGTTAAGGCAGGCATCACATTTGCCGCCACCGGTGGATGGCCCGCGGGCATCATCTTACCAATGCAGTGTTAAACCCGCGTAGATTTCACCGCACGATGTAACCACGTGGGCGGCAACAAGGCGTCCTGAGATTACAAGCCTGCTCTTTTAACGCCGTCGAGAATCAGACCAGCCGGTCACCAGCCGGGTGGCTTATAGTCCGCGGCACTCAGCATAACATAAATACAATTCCGGACCGCAGCCAGTGTGTCCGCCCCCCTTATCAGGTCTGACCGCCAGCCGCCGCGGCACCCACCGACGGACGTGGAGCTGAGGTACTTGTGCAGGCCGCAGAAGATCTCCAGCAGGTTGTAGATGGCGCGCGGATCGCCGGCGATGATGTTGGCGCCCGAGATGTGCGAGAGGTCGACGTTAATCAGGTCCAGCGCCAGGTGGTTGATGATGGCCTGTACGTTGGCAGCCTCCTCCTCGTCGCCGACCGGCTCGCGGAGCACGCCTACGGGGAGGGGGCGCGGTCGTCAGGGCCTGCTGGATTCACCGACCCGCGTGTTCTCACGGCGCGGCGGTGAGGAGGGGGAAAGGGGTGCTGGAGCTGCCGCGGTGGATGAGCTCGTGGAGGAGCACATGACGTGGAATGAAAGGTCCAAGTGTGAAAGGTGAAAGCGAGAGTCATCTGTCGCCGCGAGGGTGAGGAGCCGCCGATGACAGAATGACAGACTAGCACGGCGTGAAGCCGCAGTGGTGTCAGCCACTAACACCAGTCCACTATCGCGACACTTCTGGTCAACAAGGGTGGCCATGGCGTCGGTCTCTGGTGGTGGCCTTGGATAACGGCTCAGCAGCGCTAGTCCCAAATACCGAGCCCAAACAAAAACGCTCCATGATGACCCCACAGCGACAGCAAAATTAACACCCGCGCATGAGTGTTGAGTTGACCACTAATCATGGATGTACGTGCTCGACAGTTAACAACATACGGCGATGCATCATGCAAAGCCAGCCACCACCGTTCGTGCTAAAATGCAGCCTTTCCCAGCGGCGCTGGCATCTTTGGAGAACAGCTAAAAGGCTGTGATGTCACCGGTGTGCGGTGGTCACGTATGACATATACCCGTGTATGGTGGTCACGTATGACATGTACCGGTGCACGGTGGTCACGCATGACGTACACCGGTGTATGGTGGTCACGTATGACATATACCCGTGTATGGTGGTCACGTATGACACATACCCGTGTATGGTGGTCACGTATGACATGTACCGGTGTACGGTGGTCACCTATGACGTACACCGGTGTATGGTGGTCACGTATGACATATACCGGTGTATGGTGGTCACGTGCGACGAACACTGGTGTATGGTGGTCGCGTATGATATACACGGTGTATGGTGGTCACGTATGGCATGTACCGGTGTATGGTGGTCACGTGCGACGTACACCGGTGTATGGTGGTCACGTATGACATATACCGGTGTATGGTGGTCACGCATGACATGTACCCGTGCATGGTAGTCACGTATGACATATACCCGTGTATGGTGGTCACGTATGACATATACCGGTGTATGGTGGTCACGTATGACATATACCCGTGTATGGTGGTCACGTATGACATATACCCGTGTATGGTGGTCACGTATGACATATACCCGTGTATGGTGGTCACGTATGACATATACCGGTGTATGGTGGTCACGCGTGACATATACTGGCGTACGGTGGTCACGTATGGCACATACTGGTGTATGGTGGTCACGTGTGACGTACACCGGTGTATGGTGGTCACGTGTGACGTACACCGGTGTATGGTGGTCACGTATGACATGGTGAATGGTGGCAACGTTTAACACCATGCCTGCGTTTGATGTTCGCACATGCTATCGCGCCGGTGCGCGACGGTCACGACCCCGGGACACATCTGGGCATGGCGGCCGCGTGCGTCCCTACACCGTCGCACGACGCGGCTGACCTCCGCGGACATAGCGTGCCCGCCGAAGTTGTTTACGCATCGCATGCCGTCGCCATGGTAACTTGCGCTACAACCTCGCATGCTCGCGCTGCTACAATGATTTCGCGGCAAGCCGAGAACAAATAAAGTTAGCCGTCCCGCACCAAAAAAAATTATCCAAACAAAAACCCGTGTGCATCGAACTGACCGAAATTTCATGATGCTCCCGAACTTCGTTCCACGTGTATATGTGCGCAGGTACAATTCGTATCAAGCTGATGTCCACGTTCTCTTTTTCTCCCAGCTATGGCGGATTTTGTGAAACAGTGTGGATACAATTTTCGTGGAATTCCCCTTCTATCCACATGCTTTAGACTTACACAACCATTGTGCTGTCTCCCAAACTAACAGCATATTTGCATGACCTTAAAAGACAATGGGTTTCATTGACAAGCCCTTACACATGCTAACTTCTTACTAAACCAAACTGCTTTTGACTTTTGCTGCACCTAAGCTTAACTATGCATAGTGGCAGGTAGGGTTACACCACCATACTATTAAAACTGCCGACAGCAGGATTAATCAGCATAGTCTCATCCTTCAAAACACAACAACGGCCATCGCTTTGCAGCTCATGATGAAGCTGCAGTCCTACCTTCTGGAAGCTGACCACACAGGACCTCCAGCAGG